TCACAACACCCAACCTTCACAACATCTCTCATATATATCCCTTTCTTTTCACCTCAATTGAACTACTGCATTAGCCTTGGTATCGCTGCCTAAAGTCTCCTTCCCTTCCAATACGTCTTCCCTTCAGTTGCCCAACGTAATTTTCCTAGAACTTGTTTGACCATGTCATTCTTCCTACTCAATAAACACCAGCTTTTTATTACCTCTAGTATCAAGTATAAATTCTGCTGTTTAGCATTTAAAGCTTCTTATAACCTGTCCCCATCCAGCTTTTCCAGTCTTCTTACACTTTACTTGTTGTCATACATTCTATAACCTGGAAACAATGGAATTACTAGCTAATTTTACTAACTTTCTTCATCTTTCTTCAAAAGAAAAAAATCTTTATTATAATGGATGGCTTTCTGAGAGGGAGGAGGAGCATATACAGGGGAAATCTAGGTGATTTAAAAGCAAAAGAAAATTTTAAAATCTCTTATTTTTAAAAGGCAACTATTGATTCATTTCTGTTTTCATATCTTCAAAGCAGTACTTGGAGAGTTAAATACTAAAGGTCATCAACCCACCATGTTATGAACTAGTCAATCCACTGGAAAAAACAAAATCAAAATGCAAACAGAACACCTATCAAGGTTTCTCTTTTATCGTTCCAAAACCCACAAAAGACCATGATATCAAGCTGTACTAATATCTAATCACTTTAAGTGCACCTTATATAATATGTAAAGCTGCTACCCAAAACCTCACCAGGAGTAAATCTATTCTCTTAAAAGTAAAGTAAAAATGCTTTTTAATGACATAAATAAATACAAAGTCTTGGATCTTGGCCAGAGGAATGCCACTTCAGCCACCAGCCACAAAAATGAAAATTCAGACAACCTTTAATAATTGCTCAGGGATCAAGGATGCCACTAATTGCTCCAGGATCAATGTCAGACCCCTAGCTCAAGGCATCTTCAGGAGAGATCCATGGCGCCTTGTGAAGAACTAAACAGAGAAAACACAAACCAGGAAGAAGCTCCATCTCATCACTTGTAATTCCACCTTCCTAAAACTATACAGAAGCTAGCTGCCAATCTGAATAGCTGCCTACAAAAAGGAAGAAGGAAAAATAAAACAGACTAGTTAGGACTTCTGCTATCTTCCTTTGAATCCAGGAAAACCAACTATGCGTCTCAGACAATGTGAATACTTTCGCTTCCTTTACTTTAGAAATAAAAAACACAGTCTCTAGAATGGTATTTGTTTCCTTTTTCTTGTCCAATGGGAAATCACTTTCCTTATATCTTCAAGCCCTATGCCAGATACCTATATTTCTTTGCAATTCCTTTATATGATCTTAAGGCAAAGCAAAACACATCACAACGGGGGTAGGTTAAAACAATGACTTCAGAAGTTCATTTCATTTGGGACTCTTCTCAGATTCATGCAGCTGTAGGCTGAGCCAGGGAAAGTGTTTAGAACATTAGTCTTGGGATGGCTGCCAAGTTGCAACCATTTTACAGCTAAAATGGTGTCGAAAATGTTATGACTAATATGGTGCAAATTGCCATAAAGTATAAAATGTAAAACACTGCCAGCAAAATTCAACTGGAGCCAGTCTAAGAAAGCATTCCCCTGAAATCAGAGCATCTTTTCAATAGGGGACTGTTCCCCACGAGCAACAGGGGTACATTATATCTTATTCCCTTTTTCCCTGCACCTTATATCTGGGTCCTAAAGTCAGTCCAAGATTTTTATTTTATTTTTTGTCAGATTTCATCTTTTATACCAAGGGGTTAACCAGGGGTCCACACTAGATTTTAGGGGGTCTCTGAACTTGGATGGAAAATTAATTACACCCTTATTTTCATTAACCTCTAGCTGCAGTTTAGTCAATTATGAATTAAAAAACAAAAACAAAGCAGCATTGTTCTGAGGAGTCCATAGGTTTTGCCAGACTGGCAGAAGGGTCCATAATACAAAATAAAGATTAAGAACCCTGCGCTTTTACATCAATGTTTGCATTGTCTTCTTCATAATAAATGATGTTTTTTGAAGAATTCTGCCTGTAGGAAAATCTAAGGGAACAAAATAATCAATACCTAAAGCAGACTCAGGGAAAAGGGATCCTCAGTATAATAGTTCAGAGTAGGGTAATATACCACCCAAGCACTAAATCATTGACAAAGATTGGGTACCGATGACCATTGGAACCTAAAAAAATGCTTCCCACTATTTTATAAATTACATTCTTTTCATGGAATCTTCTATAGATCTTAAGAGGTAGATTATGTTCATCAACAGCCATTAATGTGATTACATGATTGCATGTTTCCTAGGAGAATTTTAATGGGATTTACAAAACATTTTGTTAAATTTTTTTGAAATTCTGCCAACTACCATTCCAAATAACTGTATAAAACTTAATGTTCTACACCTTCCTGACCAAACTAAGAGCTAAACCTTTTAATCTGACGTGGCCAACTAATTTGTAGTTCTTGAGTGCATAAATGGTTTAGTCTTGAGAGGTAATACAGCCAAGTGCATACAGCGGCAGCCATGGAATCAAGAAAATCCAGGTTCAAGTCTTGCCTCTGATAATTACTAGCTATGTAACCACTGGCTTTCTTATTGCTCCCAGCAACTAACTTTCTATCAGAGTCTAAGTTATAGATGACTTGCTGATGTGCATGGAAATTTCTTTTTAACAAACATTCATTGTTGTTGTTCAGTTGTTTTTCAGTTGTGTCTGACTCCTCGTGACTCCATTTGGGATTTTCCTGGCCAAGATACTGGAGTGGTTTCCCATTTCCTTCTCTAGTTCATCTTATAGATGAGGAACTGAGGCAAACAGGGTTAAGTGACTTACCCTGGGTCACACAGCAAGTAAGTGTCTGAGGCCAGATTTGAACTGACAAAGATGAGTCTTCCTGACTCCAGGCCCTGTGCTCTCTATCCTCTGTGTCACCTAAATGCCCTAAGCATTTTTAAGCACATACTATGTGCCAGGTACTATGTTAAGCACTTCACAAATATCTCATTTGATCCTCACAACAACTCTGGGAAGTAGGTGCTATCATTATTCCCATTTTATAGATGAGGAAACCGAGAGAAACAGAGGTTAAATGAATTATCCAAGGTGACACAGCTAGTGTCTAAGGCCAAATTTGAAATCAAGTCTTCCTGACTGAATCCATAGCTCTATCCATCATGCCACCTAGCTATCTCTAAAATTTCCACACTCATGGGTCCCCCACATTAATGAAAACACAGGTCCAGTTTCCTACTCCCTAGAAAATGCTTGTCTTATCCAAAAGCCACTTGACATTCTGGCACATTTCTTAAAACACCATCACAATGATAGGACCAGAGAGAGCATATGTGTTTTAGCATTTCCTTTACTAGGGTAGAGATATACTAGCTAACTTCACAGGGTTATTGTTAGTACAATGATAACTACTAAAGAACCAGAGAGGAGCCTCCAGTGGGGTGGGTGGATCATCTATGAAGAAATGTACATACATACTTGGACAAGGATATCTCAAAGCAAGAAACCCTGGGAGATTTCCCCTCAGTTAAAGATAAGCTCCTTGAGGGTGAGACTGTCTAATGTTTGTCTTTGTATTTTCAATGCCTAGCACAATGCTTTGTATAGAGATGTTTTTAAAATGCTTGTTAAATGAATGAATGAATGAATACATTAAAGAATGAATGGTCTGGAAGAATTGCAATACAAACCAGTGGAGTGATTAACAACCCTAATGAGATCATGGATCCACCTAAATATCTAATAAAGATAATCATCTTAAGTCTAACACAACAGAGTCAGAAACACAGATTCAAAGATGGGCAGATCTTGGTTTCCAACTTCAGGCAGCTTTCATTCTAAAGACAGATAACCCAACTACAAAGTTACTGGCAAATCTATAAGTGCCATGAAAATAAAATTTTTTTTACAAACATAAATCACCATTCCAAAGCTTTAAGAAATATACTTTGTTGGGGCAGCTAGGTGGCGCAGTGGATAGAGCACTAGTCCTGGATTCAGGAGGACCTGAGTTCAAATCTGGCCTCAGACATAACACTTACTAGCTGTGTGACCCTGGGCAAGTCACTTAACCCCATTGCCTAGCCAAAAAAAAAAAAAAAGAAAGAAATATACTTTGTTGCTTTCTACACAGATGAAAGAATGTTCAAGCATTATCTCTAACTCTGTACTCATACATAACATACATAGCTTTGGGTCAGCAGAATGATTTTATTTTATTTAGTTATAAATTATGATAGTTTGTGACAGTAGTAATCATATTTTGGAAATACAAAGGAATTGAAAGGGAGGAAAGAGAAAATAAGGGAAGGATCATAGGATAAAAGATTTAAAACTGGCAAGGACCTTAGAGGTTATATAATTCAAAGCCTCATTTATATATTGAGAGGTTGACTTGCCTAAGGTCACACAGGTACCAAGTAACACAAGCAAGATTTGAAGGAAGGTTCTCTGGCTCCAAATTCGGGATTCATTCCACTGTACCTACAACTCCTTCTTGGAAGGTAGATTCAAGGACAGTAGAAGAAAAAATAGGGAGAAAGGAGTTTTACCCCAGAATACCCTTCCCCCCAGCCACCTGTTTCTTTTATCTACATTCATTTAAAATATTACTACAATCAGAGTGGAACAAGATAAAGAGAAAAAGCCCATTAAACTAGGAGTCTGGAGATCTAGGTTCTAGTCCCAGATCTGCCACTCATTAACTCTCATTTAAGTTCTCTGGATAAGTCACTGGACCACTCTAGGTAACAGTTTCTTTGTAACCTCTTCTTAAATCTCTGATGTTCCATGACTCCAGGTCTTTATTCTTATCACATTCCATTCAATTGAACACGTATTGATTAAGCTCCTACTTCTGTGCAAGGCATTAGGACTACAAAGACAAAAAATAAAACAGTCTCTGCCCTCAAGGAAATCACAGTCTAAGCACCTAACTACAATCACACAAAATAAGATTAAGATACATTACCAGCTGGTAGAATTCAGCATCTTTGGGGGTTAGATAAGGAAGCCATCTGTTTCCAAGTTCTTTAAGAAGTTTCTGCTTCTGTTTAAAAAAATGCACATACGGACACATTATTCAGGAGGTAAAAATACAAAAGAGGAAAAAGAAATGGTTTTCTTAGCCACGAAAATACCCCAATATATCAAATACTTCAAAGTGGTCTATTATTTCATCAGAATGGGTACTCCTTCTATTGATGATATTCACAACCATCCTGTGCTTCAGTGGATGGTCTCATGCAATGCTAAATATAGGGTAAAAAATTTCACGACCTTGGATAACATTTTGTTGATGCACAACCATCAAATTTCTTCTGGGCTAATGCTTGAATGACAGACACATAGTCTATCACTGGACCCAGATGTGATATCTTTGCAGCATGGCAAGAGCTGCTAGGACTTGCACCCTGCTGATGTGCACTTAAAGAATCTAATGCCACCTCCAGTCATCTCCATAGCAAAGAAGAATCACAGGGAGTCTTTATTTGAAAAGCAAAGCAAAATGGCAATAAAACATTTATTATAAGAGCATTCACACATAAGAGGGCAGCCACTACTTTCCCCAAACCACTGCCACCTGAAAAATGCATAAACAAGTTCCTTGTGAGCAGCTCTCCTGCCAGGAGTCTACTGCCTTTATTACCTAAATCAAAATGGCAAGAATATCAGCCAGAATACACACAAGAAATTAAAAGAACTACAAAACAGCCCCTCTTCATCAAGAAAGACCAATTAGCAAATTGTGGGATTTTTTGTGTACAGACCTATTCTAATTATGGCTAATTAAAGCCTTCTGCCACAGAAAAACATTTTACTCAAGTGGCAAACAGTCTTCAGTGACTAAGAGCTGATACAAGTCTTGTTTAAATAAACAATTAGCTTAGATAATAAAAGTACAAACTGCAGCACAGTCCAGGAATCTGTTGATGGTTTTTTACTGCTTTGAAAATTAGGTAGTGTTTGGGTCAGTGGTATCTGCACACATAAAGACATGAATGAATGTACAGAGATGCACATTTCAAGCATTATGCAAACTATTCCTAATGAACTCACTATGTAACCATCATTTTTTTTTCCTTCAAAGTCTTGAAAACCAGCATTTTCGTAGAAATCTACCATTAGTTCCCAATCCTTCTCATAAACTAAGCATGCAAAGATGATTTATAAAAGCCAAAAAAGGAAAAAACTTAATCCATCTGAACACTTGGATACGTCAAATGGCGAGAGGTTTACATTCCTTAAAATATTTCCCACCCTATAAACACTGCCTTAACACATATTTATGGGTCTCCTTCAATGAGGTTAAATATGTATATGTGGTAGCACACATTGGAAAGGGTCAAAAGAGAACTGACACACCAGCCCCCAAAACGACGTTAAATAACAGTGAACCTTTCACAAAGGTTAACAAGTGCCAGTGGAGGTCAATTCTCAGTTCATAATTCATGCTTCAGTTAAATCAATTCGCCCAAAAGCTTATCAGCTAAGTCACAATCAGCTCACCAGAGAAGTACATATTATTGCAACTTGGAGGGCTCACTTGAAAGGATAAGTTAAAAGTGCAGATGACAGTTCCTACTACACAGAAGTCAAAATATTAAATGGCCTACTGGATCTGGGAAATATCAACATCATAAGGATAATTATACAATGGACTACAATAGAAACAGGGTCAGCAACACTTCCAACTCAAGTCTGCATAACTGAGGTTATTACTATATATCAACATTAAGTGTACTTCACTCACTGACTAAACTGTCAAGGAGAGCGCTAGAATTTATCAAGTAGGAATGGACTCTGCTCTTTCTGTCTCTCATTTTCTTTACAGGCATGGAAATCTTGGTGAAATCAAGAGGAAGGCAAATTTTGATTAAGTCAACTGACCACTTAATTAGCATACTATATGATTGCTTAAAGAAAAAGTTCATTATTTTCTTAACGTGGAATTCGTAGTAAAGACAAAGAGAATACAAGGGATTTTTTTTAAGCACACTTTTGTTCAACAATCAAGCATTTATTTGGGAAAACATCTGAAACACAGGCTAGCAAACAGAAGGGGGAAGAAACCTGACAATTTCTTTGTTTGTGTCAAATGCCAACTCCCTGGCAAACACACACCACATTAAAATGCACTCTTGAGTGTAGGTGGAAGGAGCTCATATTTGATTGTCAGATCTGGCTAACTGCTGCTCCTCAGCTTGATGTACAGATAAATACACACAGCTGGGCCTTGCAGCATACTGCTCTTCTCATATACAAGAAGCTGTCACACAGATGTCAAATACATCAAGCTACTCACAAATTCCACACACAAAACAAGAGAGAAATCAAAGCATCAGCTCTACCACCTGGCTAGAGCTGAGGTAGAAGGCCCCATCCACCAGGACAACATCCCACCACATCTCCAACAGGTAAAGAAGGCAGCAAAGATCTGACATAAAAAGCATCTTAACTCCAAACTCATAACAGATTTTAAAGTCAGATGTCAGAAACTTCAGTTTTAATGCTTAGGCCTTGGCTCAAAAGGCAATCTAGGGCAAATAAGAGGGAACTCTCTCTCTCTCTCTCTCTCTCTCACTTTCCTTACCTATAAAATGGGGATATATAACTTGAAAAAAGTATTTTGTAATCTATGAAAAGATACAACAGATAATGACCCCTAAAGGATTGTTTTAGGCTTTAATCTATTAAAGAAGAGTAAAAATCCTGAGCTGCTTTACAACCCTGAAGACATTTAGAATTCATTAAAATCATTTGGGCGGGTCTGGTTTTTTGTTCCAAAAATTCAAAATTTTCTTTTACAACTTGTATATTTCTTTACAGTTGTATGTGTTTGTGTTTTTAAAGGCAAATAGCTGTTACTGTTAGTCTACTCCTACCCAAAACATTCCAAGAAAAGCTGTTCTGCTGGGGGATGATAACCATTCATTGCTTCACTGAACAAATATACTGAGTATCTACTACATGGCACTATCCTAGAAAATATGCAGGACACAAAAATTTCAGGGTCTCAGAAAAACTCCTAATTACAACTCAGCTCAACCCTTCTGAGATGAAGTGGACAGTAAGCAGGAACCCCTAAGAGGACCTCAGCAGAGCCTCTTAATACTATGCCTTGAAGCAGGGGGTCTAAGCCTGGGGTCCATTAACTTTTAAAACAATATTTTGATAACTATATTTTAATATAATTGGTTTGTTTTATAACCCTATGTATTTTACTTAAATGCATTTAAAAACATAATTCTAAGAAGGGCTCCATAAGTTTCAGTAGACTGCAAAAGGGAAAGAAAAAAAGAAAGAAAAAAAGAAAATGAGAGAAAGAAAGAAAGGATGGAAGGAAGCACTTTGCTGCCTGGCATCGAGAAGGTCACAATACCTATTCTATTCCAAGGTTAACCAAGTCACATCCTCCCCTGCAAGTACTGGAAAGTGAAGAAAAAAGAATGTGATGGGTATGAGAGGAGAAAAGCAAACAGGATAGCAAATGGGTCTGGAGTAGAGTTGGAACCCTTCCTTGTTGCCAACTAAAGACCAACCACTTCAATTCATCAGGACAAAAAAGTATAGCATGAACAATAAAAGGTTTGAAAACCACTGCTTTGAAGAGAAAACTAACAAATGTGTCTCCAACTCTGCTTCTACCCTCCCCCACTCGCACCCCACAGATATTCTCAGAAAGTTCTAGGTGCTGATTAAAGGCAATACTCCAGAGCAAAACTCTGCCAACATAACTGGTCATTCTGAAAGAAAGGTGGCCAATTTGCTCAGACTATGGTCTAGCTCATTGTGGCTTCGAGGACACATGTGGCCTTCGAGGTCCTCGGGTGTGGCCTTTTGAGTGACTCCAAGTTTTATAGAACAAATCTTTTTATTAAGGGGATTTGTTCTGCGAAGTTTGGATTCAGTCAAAAGGCTGCACCTGAGGACCTAGAGGGCCACATGTGACCTCGAAGCCACAGGTTCCCCACCCCTGGGCCCCTGCCTCATCATTCTCTCAGTTTCTTTTCTCATTCATTGCTATGCAATCTCTCCAGCACTGGTTCCCACCCACTGACCTACTCTTTGCCTTCCCCTCGGAAGTGCAGTGGGCATCCAGACAATGGTAATACTTAGTTATTACTTCATAATTTTTACCAACATCCCTCTTCTTAACAATCCCCCTAAGAAGGAACCTCCTCACCCCTCATTTTCATATAAAATTCAGGTAAGGATTTTATGGATCTAAAGTAAGCAAAGTGGACAATAATATTAGCATCCTTTCACTTTTCCTTGTGGGCCCTCATTCAGTCAATCAGTCAACAAGAATTTTTTAAGCAGCTTACTTAATAAATTAAACACCTATTTAGCCAGGTAGGCTCTGTGCTAAGCACTAGGGATACAAAGAAGGGCAAAAACATGATCCCTGTCCTTAAGGAGCTCCCATTCTACTGGGAGAGACAACATGTAAATAACTATGCACCTGGAAAGAGATACAGAGTGTAAATGGGAAGGAAGGTACTAGCAGTGTATAGGGGAAGAACCAGAAAAACCTCTTACAGAAAGTGGGATTTGAGCTGAGTCTTAAAGGAAGCCAGAGAAGCCAGGAGGTGGAAATGAGGAAGGAGAGAATTCTGGGCATGAGACAGCCAATGAAAAGGCACAGAGCTAGGGGGATTGAGTGTCATGTGCAATTAACAGCGATGCTGGATTCTAGAGTATACAGAGGGGAATAAAGCATAAGAAGCTGGGAAAGGTAAGAAAGGGCCATGAGGGGGAATAAAAAAAGAAGGAAGGATGGAAAAATGGAAAGGTTCTGAAGGGCTTTAAAAACCAAACAGAGGATTTTTTTTAAAAATCCTGGAGGTAATACGGAGTCACTAGAGAAAATTGAGTAGGAGGATGCCGACAATTTGGCAGCTTAGTAGAGAACTGACTGGGGAAAGACTTGAGACAGGGAGACCAACCAGAAGTCCAGTGAAATGGTCCAAGTATGAGGTGACAGGGGCTTGCACCCAGGCAGTGGCTGTGTGAGTGGACAGAAGGGCGCATGTATAAAAGATGCTT